TTGGTCAATGTAGGTTCAGTCACTGTAGGTTCAGTTAGTGTAGGTTCAGTTACAGTAGGTGCAGTTACTGTAGGTTCGGTTACTCTAAATTCTGTCACTGTAGGTTTTGTCTGTCTCTAGGTTCTGTTACTGTAGGTTCAGTTACTATAGGTTCAGTTAGTGTAGGATCAGTTACTGTAGGTTCAGTCACTGTAGCTTCAGTTACTGTAGGTTCAGTCACTGTAAGCTCAGTTACTGTAGGTGCAGTTAGTGTAAGATCAGTTAGTGTAGGTACGGTTCCTGTAGGTTAAGTCACTGTAGGTTCAGTTTCTGTAGCCTCAGTTACTGTAGGTTCAGTCACTGTAGGCTCAGTTACTGTAGGTTTGGTCACTGTAGGTTCAGTTAATGTAGGATCAGTTACTGTAGGTCCGGTCTCTGTAGGTTCAGTTACTGTAAGTACGGTTACTGTAGGTCCGGTTTCTGTAGGTTTGGTTACTGTAGCTTCAGTTACTGTAGGCTCAGTTACTGTAGGGTTGGTCACTGTAGGTTCAGTCACTGTAGGTGCAGTTAGTGTAGGTTCAGTTACTGTAGGGTTGGTCACTGTAGGTTCACTTACTATAGGTGCAGTTAGTGTAGATTCAGTTACTGTAGGGTTGGTCACTGTAGGTTCAGTTACTATAGGTGCAGTTAGTGTAGGATCAGTTACTGTAGATCTGGTCTCTGTAGGTTCAGTTACTGTAAATACGGTTACTGTAGGTCCGGTCTCTGTAGGTTCAGTTACTGTAAATACGGTTACTGTAGGTCCGGTGTCTGTAGGTTCAGTCACTGTAGGCTCATTTACTGTAAGGTTGGTCACTGTAGGTTCAGTCACTGTAGGCGCAGTTAGTGTAGGTTCAGTTAGTGTAGGTTCAGTTACTGTAGGTCCAGTGTCTGTAGGTTCAGTTACTGTAGGTTCAGTCACTGTAGGTTTGGTCACTGTAGGTTCAGTTACTGTAGGTTTGGTCACTGTAGGTTCAGTCACTGTAGGTTCAGTTTCTGTAGGTCTGGTTAGTGTAGGTTCATTTACTGTAGATTCTGTCACTGTAGGTTCAGTTTCTGTAGGTCTCGTTACTGTAGGTTCAGTCACTCTAGGTTCAGTTTCTGTAGGTCTGGTTACTGTAGGTTTGGTCACTGTAGGTTCAGTCACTGTAGGTCTGGTTACTGTAGGTTCAGTTTCTGTAGGTTTGGTCACTGTAGGTTCAGTTACTGTAGGTTCAGTCACTAGACTCAGTCACTGTAGGTTCAGTTACTGTAGGGTTGGTCACTGTAGGTTCAGTTACTGTAGATTTGGTCACTGTAGGTTCAGTCGCTGTAGGTCCAGTCACTGTAGGCTCAGTTACTGTAGGTTCAGTTAGTGTAGAATCAGTTACTGTAGGTCCAGTGTCTGTAGGTTCAGTTACTGTAAGCTCAGTTAGTATAGGTTCAGTTACTGTAGGTACAGTTACTGTAGGTTTGGTTATTGTAGGTTCAGTTACTGTAGGGTTGGTCACTGTAGGTTCAGTCACTGTAGGTTCAGTTACTGTAGGTTCAGTTACTGTAGGTTCAGTCACTGTAGGTTCAGTTTCTGTAGGTCTGGTTAGTGTAGGTTCATTTACTGTAGATTCTGTCACTGTAGGTTCAGTTTCTGTAGGTCTCGTTACTGTAGGTTCAGTCACTCTAGGTTCAGTTTCTGTAGGTCTGGTTACTGTAGGTTTGGTCACTGTAGGTTCAGTCACTGTAGGTCTGGTTACTGTAGGTTCAGTTTCTGTAGGTTTGGTCACTGTAGGTTCAGTTACTGTAGGTTCAGTCACTAGACTCAGTCACTGTAGGTTCAGTTACTGTAGGGTTGGTCACTGTAGGTTCAGTTACTGTAGATTTGGTCACTGTAGGTTCAGTCGCTGTAGGTCCAGTCACTGTAGGCTCAGTTACTGTAGGTTCAGTTAGTGTAGAATCAGTTACTGTAGGTCCAGTGTCTGTAGGTTCAGTTACTGTAAGCTCAGTTAGTATAGGTTCAGTTACTGTAGGTACAGTTACTGTAGGTTTGGTTATTGTAGGTTCAGTTACTGTAGGGTTGGTCACTGTAGGTTCAGTCACTGTAGGTTCAGTTACTGTAGGTTCAGTTACTGTAGGTTCAGTCACTGTAGGTTCAGTTTCTGTAGGTCTGGTTAGTGTAGGTTCATTTACTGTAGATTCTGTCACTGTAGGTTCAGTTTCTGTAGGTCTCGTTACTGTAGGTTCAGTCACTCTAGGTTCAGTTTCTGTAGGTCTGGTTACTGTAGGTTTGGTCACTGTAGGTTCAGTCACTGTAGGTCTGGTTACTGTAGGTTCAGTTTCTGTAGGTTTGGTCACTGTAGGTTCAGTTACTGTAGGTTCAGTCACTAGACTCAGTCACTGTAGGTTCAGTTACTGTAGGGTTGGTCACTGTAGGTTCAGTTACTGTAGATTTGGTCACTGTAGGTTCAGTCGCTGTAGGTCCAGTCACTGTAGGCTCAGTTACTGTAGGTTCAGTTAGTGTAGAATCAGTTACTGTAGGTCCAGTGTCTGTAGGTTCAGTTACTGTAAGCTCAGTTAGTATAGGTTCAGTTACTGTAGGTACAGTTACTGTAGGTTTGGTTATTGTAGGTTCAGTTACTGTAGGGTTGGTCACTGTAGGTTCAGTCACTGTAGGTTCAGTTACTGTAGGTTCAGTTACTGTAGGTTCAGTCACTGTAGGTTCAGTTTCTGTAGGTCTGGTTAGTGTAGGTTCATTTACTGTAGATTCTGTCACTGTAGGTTCAGTTTCTGTAGGTCTCGTTACTGTAGGTTCAGTCACTCTAGGTTCAGTTTCTGTAGGTCTGGTTACTGTAGGTTTGGTCACTGTAGGTTCAGTCACTGTAGGTCTGGTTACTGTAGGTTCAGTTTCTGTAGGTTTGGTCACTGTAGGTTCAGTTACTGTAGGTTCAGTCACTAGACTCAGTCACTGTAGGTTCAGTTACTGTAGGGTTGGTCACTGTAGGTTCAGTTACTGTAGATTTGGTCACTGTAGGTTCAGTCGCTGTAGGTCCAGTCACTGTAGGCTCAGTTACTGTAGGTTCAGTTAGTGTAGAATCAGTTACTGTAGGTCCAGTGTCTGTAGGTTCAGTTACTGTAAGCTCAGTTAGTATAGGTTCAGTTACTGTAGGTACAGTTACTGTAGGTTTGGTTATTGTAGGTTCAGTTACTGTAGGGTTGGTCACTGTAGGTTCAGTCACTGTAGGTTCAGTTACTGTAGGTTCAGTTACTGTAGGTTCAGTCACTGTAGGTTCAGTTTCTGTAGGTCTGGTTAGTGTAGGTTCATTTACTGTAGATTCTGTCACTGTAGGTTCAGTTTCTGTAGGTCTCGTTACTGTAGGTTCAGTCACTCTAGGTTCAGTTTCTGTAGGTCTGGTTACTGTAGGTTTGGTCACTGTAGGTTCAGTCACTGTAGGTCTGGTTACTGTAGGTTCAGTTTCTGTAGGTTTGGTCACTGTAGGTTCAGTTACTGTAGGTTCAGTCACTGTAGGCTCAGTTACTGTAGGTTCAGTTACTGTAGGCTCAGTTACTGTGGGTTCAGTTAATGTAGGCTCAGTTACTGTAGGTTCAGTTAATGTAGGTTCAGTTACTCTAGATTCTGTCACTGTAGGTTTTGTCTGTCTCTAGGTTCTGTTACTGTAGGTTTGGTTACTGTCCTCCTCCCTCTGTCCTCCACCTGTCTGTCCTTTCTCTGTCCTCCCTCTTTTTGTCCTCCTCCCATTGTCCTTCCTCTGCAAATCAATCAATCAATCAATTTTATTTATAAAGTCCAATATCACAAATCACAATTTGCCTCACAGGGCTTTACAGCATACGACATCCCTCTGTCCTTAGGACCCTCACAGCTGATCAGGAAAAACTCCCCCAGAAAAACCCTTTAACGGGGTCCTCCCCCTGTCTGTCCTCCCTCTGTCCTCCCTCCCTCTGTCCTCCTCCCATTGTCCTCCTCCCTCCCTCCTCTGTCTGTCCTCCCTCTGTCCTCCTCCCTTTGTCCTCCCTCTGTCCTCCTCC